TCACGGGCGCGATGCCGATCACGACGTTCATTCCGATGCCCGTGGCCCCGGTCTGTCATTCCGACAGGGATGTTGTGGCGCGAGTCAAGGTTGAGGATGATGGCGAGATCCCAAGGAGTCGCAGGCTGATGCTTCCGAGCAGCATACGCAAGGCGGCATCTCGCCACATTTGGTGGGTCTCGATGGTCATGTCGATGTAGTGGGTCTCCGCGGCGTCCTCAGGTAGGTCTTGACGGAATGCCGGTGAATTCGTAATTGGCGTTAGCGTCGGTTGCCCCAGGCCTGCGGCAGGGGACAGGGGGCGCGGAAGGCCCTCTGCCGCATGCGTGGCTCGACGTGGCCACAAGGCGCCTGCAGATGCCACCTGGGCATACCAGGCACCCGCCACTGGGCGCCGCGCCGCCTCGAGGGGCCCTGCCGGCCCGCCCCCCAGGCGCGGAGGGGGGGGGGCCCGAATGTGGCGACTTCTCCTCGTCCTCTTCCTCCTCCTCCTCCTCCCTCCTTCTCCTCCTCCTCCTCCTCCTCCTCCTCCTCGTCCTCCTCCTCTTCCTCATCCTGCGGCCTCCAGCATTGGATTGGCGTCTGAGGTGCTCACAGCCAGGGGTCAAGTGTCAAGGAGACATTCGGGATGGCAATGACACAGGAGCGGACGGGAGGGGAGGGAGCGGGGAGGGGAGCAGAGCGCAGAAGAGGCGGACGGGATGAACTAGGGGAGGAGAGGGGGAGGGGGAGCCGAGGGAGAGAAAGAGAGGGAGAGAGAGAGAGAGATAGAGTCGGGAGAGGCCAAAACCCAAGAACAGACGTACCCTGGAGAGGGTCCTCAAAACCCACCTCGGGATGCCTAGGGGCCAGGTCTTGGCGCATGCCGTGCCTGGAACCCTGACCCATGCGACGCCATATTGGCGGGCGCTTGTACCCCGGGTGCCCGAACGGACTTCGGCCCGTCCTCATCGGTACGTTTTGTTGCTTCTCTCTCCTTTCTCTTTCTCTCTCTCTCTCTCTCTTTTTCTCTTCCCTCCCTCTCTCTCTCTCTCTCCCGCTCCCGATGCACACGTTTATGTATACATATATATATATATATATATATATATATGTGTTTGGTCACCCCCCCCCTGTGATCCACCTCACCCTTTTTTCTTTTTATCTGAGTGGTATTCGTGCTTTGAGCTGGCGCTGCCAATCTGCGGCGTTCAATTGAGCGCGAGATCGGGATTTCGAGAGGGCGGGAGAGCGGGAGAGAGGGAGGGCGGGAGAGCGGGCGGGCGGGAGAGCGGGAGAGCAGCCATGGGCGGAAAGGCGAAAATGCTAAAAAGGCAAAACAAAAATAATCAAATGAACAAAGAAAACCAAGGACATCCCCAGAAAACCAACGAAACAGTTGCAAACACTAAGGAAAAGCAAGGTGTTGGCAAGCTGGTGTGCACGACACCTGTGGAAACACATTGTTTCGTGACGTCCATGAGCCAAAAGCCTGTGTTTTCACAGGTTTGGCGGCTATCAGGCGTCCAAAACGCTGTTGTGCCGTAGGTTTTGCAGCTTTTTCGCATGGTTTTCTTGGGGTGTCCTTGGTTTTCATTATTTTTAGTTTTGTTTTGTTGGTGTATTTTTTTGCATGTTCGCCGGCTCGCGCCGTGGCGCTGCGCCAGCCCAGGGGCGGGCAGGCGAAAATGCAAAAGATGCAAAGAAGGCAAACAAAAACAAAGAAATCCAAGAACATCCTCAGATAACTATGCGAAAACGCTGCAAACACTAAGGAAAAGCAAGGTTTTGGCAAGCTGGTGTTCACGAAACCTGTGAAACACACCACTTCTCTCATATATATATATATATATATATATATATAGTGCATATAGTTTCCTTGTCTTTATAGCCTCAAGAAACCCTTGTGAGCAGCGGTAAGCTTTTGAAATCCCCCACTGTCAAAACCTTCAGCAAACTCCTCTCGGCTCCCTTTTGGATTTTCTCTTGGCTCTCTCTTGGCCCCTTCTGGCTCCCTCTTGGCTCCCTTTTGGCTCCGTCGTGGCTTTATTTTGGTTCCAAAACGCAAGGGTTTGGCTTATCGACGTCATGAAACATTGTTTTCACAGGCTTCGTCAGCACCAGCTTGCCAAAGCCTTGCTTGTCCTTAGTGTTTGCAGCTTTGTCGCATGGTTTTCTGAGGATGTCCTTGGTTTTCTTTTTTTTTTTTTTGAATTTTCACCTGCCCGCCCCTGGCTGCTCTCCCGCTCTCCCGCTTTCCCGCCCGCCCGCTCTCCCGCCCTCCTTGTCTCCGTGCCTTTTGTCATGTTGTCCCCTTTGGGCCCCCGTGTCCCCTTTTGTCTCCTTTGTGCCCTTTTGTTCTTCCTGTTCCCTTTTATCCTCTTTTGTCCCCTTTTGTCCCCTGTGTCCTCTTTTGTCCCGTTTGTCCCTTTTTGTCCCTTTTTGTCTCCTGTGTCCCCTTTTGTCCCCTTGTGTTCCCTTGTGTCCCTCTTGTACCTGTTTTGTTCCCATTGTCCCCGTTTGTTCCCTTTGCTCCGTTTGGCTTCTTGTGTTGTTCGTGTGTGTGTTTTCTCGTGTTGTCCCTTTTTGTCCTCCTTGTCCTCTGTTGTCTCCTTTGTGACCTTCGTCTCCGTTTCCTCATCTTGTGTATCGTTTGTCCAAGTTTGTCGTCATGTTCTTTTCTGTTCCCTTTTGTCCCCTTTGTCCCCTTTGGTCTCCTCGTGACATTATTATGTGGCGTTTGTCCTTTCGTCTCCTTGTGCCGCCTTCGTCCCCTTTGTCTCCTTTTGTCCCCTTTTGCCCCCCTTTTGTTCCTTTTGTCTCCTGTGTCCCATTTTGTCCCTTCGTCCCTCAGAACGCTTATGGGAGATTTTCCAGGACCTAAGAAAACAAGAAAAAAAGAAAGACACGAGGGAGACACCAGGGAGACACCAGGAAGATATCGTGAGTTCAGCGTCCTCCAAGGCCCAGGAGGAACACCAGAAGACGCAGGAGGAGCAGGATGATAATCAGGAGGGGGAGGAGAAAGAGGGGAGAGAGAATAACGAGGCGGAGGAGGAGGAGGAGGAGGAGGAGGAGGAGGAGAGAGGAACAAGTACAAAGGGGTGGAGAGGAGGGATCAACAGGACGACGAAGACGACGTTTTGTTAAGGCTAACCTGGCATCCTCGCCTTCGTCCATGATGCGTTTCGGGTGCCTTTCGGGTGCCTTTTCTGGTAACCTCGAGATGCTCATCGGGTGCCTTTCGCATGCCTTCTGGGTGTTTATTGGAGATCTTCCAGGGAGACCCGAGGAGACACGAGGGAGACACCAAGGAAACACCTTCAATAGCACATGCAGCACTTTCGAAGATATATTTTTCTTAGAATTTGATGTGGTCGATTTGCGGGTGCCTTTGGGGTGCCTTTCGGGTGCTTGCGGGTGCCTTGGGGGTGCCTTTCTGGTGTTTTTGCGGGTGCCTTGGGGGTGCCTTGGGGTGCTCATCGGGCGCCTCCCCAGGGCATTCGGAGGACGCCAAACGTACGATATCTCCTTGGTGTCTCCTTGGTATCTCCCTGGTGTCACCTTCTGGTCTCCGTTTTTTGGTTTTAGGCTATGGAATACCTCTGGAAAGCACCCCGAGAACACCCGAAACACACCCGAATATATCTTATTGTGTCTTGGGCAGCTTCCCCTTGCTATCGTTGCGAACATATTCGTTCGAAGCTTAGTTGGCAAGTTCCGTGACATTACGCCCTTAGCGGTGTTGCTGCTGGTGGTGCTGTTCTTGTTGGTCTTAGTGCTACTCTTGCTGGTGGTGAATGACAAGGAATAAATTACAGAAGGTCACATAGTCAGTGGGGCATGAAAGAAGCGATAAGGTGGATCACAGGGGTGGGTGAGCATATGCTGAATTATATCTATATAAATCGGAGGTTGGGGGGTGAGATCGAAGTGGAACGGAGAGCCCCCCTACCGGGAAATCGATTTCGGTTTCGTGTTCGTGCGTGCCGTGCGGGCGAGGCGAAGCTGCGTGGGCGGGCGAGAGAAAGTCTCCTGTGGCTGAGGCGCGGCCGGAGCAAAAGAACCTTGCCCGGGCGGCCGGTGCCCCGCGGTGTCCCGCCGGTGTCCCGCTGGTGTCCCGTGTGGCTGAGGCGCGGCTGGGGCAAAAGAACGTTGACCGGGCGGCCGGTGCCGCGCGGTGTCCCGCCGGTGTCCCGCTGGTGTCCCTTCGGTGTCCCGTCGTTGTCCCGATGATGACGTGGATGATGATGATGATGATGATGATGATGATGATGATGATGATGATGATGATGATGATGATGATGATGATGATGATGTGATGGTGATGGTGATGGTGATGGTGATGATGATGATGATGATGGTGATGATGATGGTAATAATGATGATGATGATGATGATGATGATGATGATGTTGATGATGGCGATGATGGCGATGATAATGATGATAATGTTGGTGTCGTTGATGATGATGATGATGATCATGATGATGATGATGATGATGATCATGATGATGACGTCGATTGTGATATCGATTGTGAGATCGATAGTGAGATCGATTGTGAGATCGCTGGTGAGATCGATAGTGAGACCGGCCGAGAGAGATCGATGACGAGATCGATTGTGAGATCGATGTTGAGATTGATCGAGTGAGTTCGATTGAGTGAGACCGATAGAGAGATCGATACTGAGATCGATAGTGCAAGAGGCGGCGCGGGCTGCGCCAAGCTTTGCCAGCGCTTCAGTCTTCTGTGGCCAAATGGCGCCGTTAGCTGCCGTTGCGCAGGTTGGGCAGGTTCCCAGGGGAAGGGTGACGTAAACAACTCGACACCAACGCCCCCAAGAGCGAGCGGCAACGCAACTATCTCCACTGGCATTGTCACAACAACATTCACCACTGTTGTCCACTGCTGGGCCCCCCCAACCTCCTTATCACCCGCAGGGTGGTCGTATAGGTATATACATACATATGTGTGTATGCATTCCTGTTACTACTTGCCCAGAGCCCGCCGCGCAACGAGGCGGGCCAAGGGCCGAGAACCCGAGGCGGCCCCGGCGTCGCAGCCGAGACACCGAAGGCCCGTTCGGGCAAGAGGGGGAGGGCGGGGCGGAGATGGTCTTCGGGAGCGGGGGCGGCCAGGGCCCAGGAGGCAGACGACGAAGATATAATGAAAGCGCAAACGTGGAACAGCGCGCGCGGATTAGCGGCGGGCCCCGCTTCCGAGCAGAATCGTCGCGCTCCGTCGCCAGGTCGGGCGGAACCGGCCTCATGCTTCGGGCGGCACTTCTTTCCCTGATCCGTGTGAGCGTGCGCCCGAGAGGGGAGGAGCGGTGAGAGCGGGCGGTGGGCATTTTGGGTTGCCCCACTCGATCGGCGCTGACGTGGGCCGAGGTGCGGTTATGGGCCCCATCGCGTGCCGCGGCTGCGGACAGCACGGGAGGCAGAAGCAGGAGCAGGTTGGAGGGGGGATAGAATTGTGTGGAGGAGGAGGAAGAGGAGGAGGAGGAGGAGGAGGAGGAGGAGGAGGAGGAAATTAAGAGGAGGAGGAGGCTGAGGTGAGAGGTGGAGGAGGAGGAGGAGGAGGAGGAGGAGTTGAAAGGAGGTAAGAGGAGGTGAGGGGAGGAGGGAGGGGGAAGAGGGAGGCAAGAGCAGGAGGAGGCGGAGGAGGAGGAGGTGAAATGAGGTGAGAGGAGGAGGAGGAGGAGGAGGAGGAGGAGGAGGAGGAGGAGGAGGAGGAGGAGCAGGAGCAGGAGCAGGAGCAGGAGCAGGAGGAGGAGAGGGAGGGGGAATTCTTTTACATCGGCAGCCCTGGTGCCTTGAAGAAGGCCGAGCCCCAGCCCGTCGAGATCAGCGGTGGCCCCGCTCCTCCTAGCACACAGTCCCTACAGCTCCTCGACCAAGACTCACAATCCGGCGGGGGAGCTGCCATGCAGTGCTGCCCCGGCCATGGCTGCTAGCCTCCCGAGGTGTCGACGTGGCAGCGCTAACAAATGAGCGTCGGAAGAAATAAGGGTCGACTGAGTGGATATGGCGTGCCGCGCTGGCTGTCTGCGTAATCCACCGCGTACGGTCGCCATGGCTTCTCGCGTAAGATCAGCTTCTTTTCTTTCAAGTGTGAATTTGCAGAGCTGCAGTAGCCGACTGCGGTCGGCCACAAAGCACGTGTGGCTGAGCAGACTCAGCCTTGCTCTTGAGACGGCTCATACACCCCCAAGGAGCAGTTCTCTGCGATCACCAAGAACCCAGCTGACATCCCGTGCGCTGCCAGCCGGCCCATCCCCATCTGCTCTGGCGGCCCAAGGGTGGGCTGAGAAGGCGGCCGCAGAGAAGGTGGCCGCACCCACCAGACCACCCCACACCGACCGAGGGCCAAAAGACTGCATCCTCGCCCTCGGACGTCGAGAGCGCAGGATGCAATCGTGCGCCGCCCCAAGAATCACACACACACACACTTGTTCCTCCAGCGCGCCGATGGGGTGCCACCGATTTTTCAAGCATTACCAAGACCAGATACGCTCAATGTGAACTGACCACCTTGCGCGGGAGCGTGGGCAGAGCTTAGAACGCCAGCGAGCGACGGACATGGCCGAACGCTGGGCAGCAGAGGGCCGTCGCGTGCAGGAAAACGAGGCGCGCGAGAAAAACGAGAGGCAGCGCCAAGCCGTCGGGGCGGCGAGGCGGAGGACGTTGAGCGATCTGGACGGCAAGCCGAGGCGCCGAGACCAGCGAGGAGCTGGGCACGCAGGCAGTGACAAGTAGATGCTAGGCGCGCCTGCGCAGACAGGATCGGCGTCTCCGCCACACACGCGTATACAGCTAGTACGAGGGTTACAACCTTTTGCTCTTCTTGTTTGGGCTGTCCACGCTCGGATGCGACTTCGCTCGGATAATCTCCAGGGGCCGAAGTCACTCGGCGAAGGGCCTCATGCTCTTGATCCACGCTGTTGTGGACATGTTTAGATTGTGGCGCCCGCTGGCGCGACACAGGCAGAACGAGTCAAGCGGAAAAGACGAGCAGGTGGTTGGACAGCCCTGGCGACACCAGGTCAGTGTTGAGCAAGCAGCTGTTGTGGTTGATCCAAGGGGGTTTGGGGCGCCAACACAACAGGACCGCCAGCAGTGGCGTGTCCAAATGCCATCACACACATTTTTGTGTTGGCGTCTGCGACCTGGTGAGTGCCCATCCAAGCGAACACGGCCGACCAATGCACACTGCTCATCTAGAGCCTGTGGAGCACCGTGTATCCAGCAGTATGGCACAAGAGGGTAGACGTCTGCCACGGCGTAGCCCGCAGCCGCCGCCCAGCTCAAAGGCCGCAACATCTGGCATGCGGAAGTCTTGATCGCATTGGCGAACTGCTGTTTGGACTTAGTGGCAGTGGCCTGGTCGCCAGCTCCTTCGGCACGTTCCACGAGCAAGGGCCAGCGAGGGGACAGCGGTTTTCGCTTCGATGCGCGCCATTCCCCAGGTGGCGGCACGCCTGGCATGATAATCCAGACAGAAGCGGCAGAGAAAATACGCATCTATCACAAGTTGCCGCCATCGCCGACTAAAGCCCACGCACGCTGTGGCGATGGAGCGGTCGTGGTCGAGGGGCCGCCGTTCCACGCCTTGCCGCAGTGTTGGAACAAATACTACGTCGTGAAGCCACGATGACCGCCGCGTGAGCACCGCCGCGTCGGGCTCTTAATCGACGCGGTGGGGGTGCCAGCCACGTCCACCGCCAGGCTGGTGCTATCCGTTGTTATGGTTGGCAGGGGTGGTAGCCATACGCGTAATTGGGGCTCGGTGGGGGCGCTCATGAAGGAATGTGCGTTGGAGGTTTCAGAACCTGAGTGGTTCCTTAACCGCATGCCGATGATAATAAAGGGACCCCACCCCCTTCAGTGTTTAGAGTTGCGATGTTGATATAGCAACATCAAGCGAAGCGATCACACTTTTCAAGATGTCTCAAGCGAAACCAAAAATTTTGGGAGACAGACGCAAACGAAACGAGCAATGTTCCAAGGATGTCTCAAGGATGTTTCAAGCTAAACCAGCAAGTTTTTTCTTTTTATGTATATGTTGTATTCTCCTTTTCTATATATGTATCTATCCCCGCGCGCGCCTGAACTTTTTTATCTCTGGGGTTGATTATCCATGGAAAGGGGAGCACATGAGCTACCTACATGAGCACTTTAAAAGTCAATGTTCATAAAGCGCTTGTAAATTAAAATTGATAGATTTGGAACCTGCCATTTTTTCGTTATTCTTCTCTTCTTACCATTCTCTTCTTCTTCTCTTTTTATGATTCTTCTACTTTCCTCTTCTTATTTTATATTTCTATCTGTCCTCGCGCTCGCCTGAACTTTTTTATCCCTGGGGTTGATTATCCATGGAAAATGAAGCACATGAGCTACCCGACACGAGCTCTCAAGCGAAATAAGCAATAGTTTGCGGATGTCTCAAGCGAAACAAGGGATTTGTCGAGGATGTCTCCAGCGAGATAAGCCATTGTTGAGGATATTTCTATGAAAGCTAAACGCCAAGGATGTCTCAAAACGTGCTCGGCTCGGTCTCCTCTTGATCATCTCCTACTTCGAGATTATGCTGGGGTCTGCTGGGCTACTTTTATTATCTCTCCCTGAACCCCGAACTTTATTATCCCCTAGTGTTTATTCTCACGGGCATGAGCTTATCTGATGAGGGTGGCCGTGATATCTCTGGCCAAGCATCGGGTGGTGTCCCACCGGCTTACAGACCTTGGATTCCTTAGCCAACGGTCCCTTATCCAATGCCCTGACCGTCCGTAGCTATGTTGGCTCAGGGCCACGGCGCACGCGACGACCGCGAGTCCGTCGGGCGATTCTGAGCACGAGGGGCGCCCCGCTAAGAGCCAAAGGATTACGCAGCACTGTCTGCGGAGGTTCTGCAGTCGGCGGGCACTCGGCACATGGCGCCCGCCCGCGCGGGAAATTCTGCCAGCGGCCGAGGATGCTCGGCGCCGCGCGAGCGGAGCTGGCGCACCCGCTCCGCGCGCCAGGCCCGCCCGCGGCCAGATCGCCCCGCCCGGGGTCGGCGCGGCCAGGCCGAAGTCCCCGGCCAGAGCGGCCGCGCCACCAGAGGTCGTCGCCGATTCGGACGGCCGGGCGGCCCAGGGGCGCGGGCGCGCCGCGGCCCGCAGAGCCTGCGCAGCGGCGCGGCAAGCTGCCCGAGGAGACCGATGGGGGCGGCGGCGCAGAGAGCGCTGCTGGCGCCAGAGAGGGCACCCCCCTCTGAGGAGCTGAGCCCCCGCCCGCGGGCATCCGCCGCGAGGTCGCGCTGCTCGAGAAGCCCCTGCAGGGGCCGCCCGTCGGCCTCTCGCTGGAGACGCGCGTGGAGCTGGAGGAGAGGCTCGAGAGGCAGCGGAGCTCGCTTGACGAGGCCCTCGAGGCGGAGCAGCGCCGCGCGGCCCAAAGCGCCCGCCCCACGCTCGGCGGGCATCGCGATCGGCAAGGCGGCGGGCAGGGTCCGCGGCAAGGAGAAGGCTCTGCAGGGCGCCGAGTCCGCCCTGGCCAGCGCGTCGAGGGCGCTTCGCCAGGCTCACCAGCCGGCGATGGACAGCCAGCGGGCGGTCGAGCAGGCCAAGAAGGAGCTCGAGGAGCAGCGCGCGGCCCTCGACGAGGCGGAGCGTCGGCAGGTGAGAGTTGCACGGGCGGCCCTCTCGACGCGCAACCCGCGGGGGCTGGTGGGCGGGCTCTTCCGCCAGATCGAGCTGCTCGAGCAGGGCGCCGGGGCGAACCCCGCTGAGGCGGCGGAGGCCCTCTCGCAGCAGGCGGCGGCCATCGGCGAGCACGCGCCGTTCCGTCCACCAGCGCGCGCGGCTCGGGCCGACAGCTGCCCCGCGGAGGGCGGCGACCTCGACGGCGACGACAGCGACGCGGAGCTCCTGCCGCCCGCGGCGGCCTGCGCCCGCCCAGGCCAGACTGCTCGGGGCGCGGCCAGCAGCATCTCGCCCCGCCCCCAGCAGCCGGCCGCCGACCGCGGGCAGGGCGAGCGATCCCGGGACGCCGCCGGCCCGTGGCCCAGGCCGAGCCCCGAGCTTGCGCGCGTGCTGG